TCTTTTTCTCCTGCTCGCAGTACCAGGTGGGTAATTTTTAATGATTCAACCGTTCAACCTTTCACTGCTACAATGGCCACCTTTCCTCATCCCCATCATTCTTCAACACCTTTCTCAATGAGGCTCAAAGGCTGACTCAAGTATCGGGTTCTCGCCTCCTTCGCTTTCGACGCCATGAGCGCGGCGTCGAAGGCGCCTTCGCCGCCCTCTTGGGCATCGGCAACCTGAGAGAGTCAAAGGTGGAACGTATCCAAACTTTCAAGCTGTTCCTTGTGTCTCGGCTTTTGGCAAGTCCCACAGAAACACTTGCCACACCCAAATCTCCTTTTCGGCCAATCTTCTGGTGCGGTGATGTTTGAAGGGGAAATCTATGGAACCCGTAAAGACTCTAGTTACACAACTTTGCTTCACCAGAGCATTCTCCAGAGTCTAGCTTGTCTCGACATCCTAGTCAGCTGGCCTAGTGTTCTTATCAACTTTCACTCCGCCTCTCTGAAATTACGATGTGACTTCAAGGCGAGGAAGACCCGTACAAATCCAGTGATGCTGTCTTACGCACTGGCAACTTCCAGCTCAACTGCCTTCCAAGACCAGTTCATGCTGCAGTTGGCGTCGTTCCCTGTATCAGCAGAATCTGAACTGCAACCGACCAACCGAGAAACCAACCCAACCAGACCCTATACGGGTCCCATGGTTTGTTTGTTGGTTTGGTCTGTTTGTTGGTCTGATCCAACCCAACCAACATGGGGCACCCCTATGGCAATCTACAGATCCGCATTCGCTCCCCGAACTGGGAGCGGGTCTGATGGATCTGCCCCAGCATTGAGGTCAAGGAGGTCAGCACCGAGATCAGGATCCGCTGCCTGCAGCCAATGTGGCGGTTGGCAAAACCGCTAAACGGGATCCCATGTGGGGGATTGGTGAATTCACCACCCATTTCAGGCTTCCTATTTTGGTGGTTGGATTGGGATGTTCACTGGGGTACGAATTGGATTTTGACCCATGGCCATGTGGGCCCGCAGTTCGGCCAAATAAACTCTTTTGGCGGTTCGGGTGTGCTTTCCCATCTACCCTCTGCGAGAGCCAGAACTTCAAATCCACAAACCACCAATCCAAACCGCGAACTCGGGGTTTCCTTCGCAGCTGGCTTGTCCAGTCATGAGTCATAGGGTTCCAATGCCCACTGGTGCGTTTCGTGGATTCTGTCCATCACTTGTTGGATCTAGCGTTCCTGGCAGGTCTCTCTGCAGACGATGGCTGTACGTCCAGGGAATCTGAGTCAGGGAAAAGCTTTCAAGCCTCACAACTTCTAAGTGGCTGGCTCCTTTTTTGTTGCGGGCACCTTTTTGTGGGTGGGTTGTAAAGGGAAACCCAGGGGAAACCCACCGTTTTGGAGGATCCCCCAAAACAAACACCCCCAAACACGCACAAAGCCTTCCAAACTGCTGTGTCAAAGTCCGAACATCGCCACGGCCACTGCCTATTGAACGATCGCACAGAAAGGGCATCTAGCCCTTGCTTCCCGAACTCATTTGCGGGTTCTCCCGAAAGTAAACCAAGCACCCGTGGCCAAAGCCATGGCCACTCTCCTAAGCAACGAGGAAGGGCAGTCTCCCAAAGCCCTCCCGTCTGAGAAACGGTTGTGCCGAACAAGATCAAGCCCATCTGTTGGCTGAATAACAAGCCGTAACCTTGGACATCATTTCGGTGGATGCATGTCCATCCAGCCTCCAGCCAAGGAAGTTGCCGATCTTGCAGGCACGCCATGGCCCGAGAACGGGGATCCCTAGATTCCCTCTTTAAACATCGGCCCCGAGGAAAACTCGCAGAACATGTCTGGATGATGAAATCATCCACAAAAGGAACAAAGTGGACTGCAGAAGCTCCCGAACATGGCCCGAAAAAGGCAAGGAAAAGGCAAAGTGCTTCTGGAACTGCTGCGCACTCTGGCTCATGGCCCCAAAACAATGATGAACGGCCCGCTTCAGTTGGCGTTGGTGTGGATTGGCTTGCCAATCTAAAGCCTGTGCAAATCCACAAACCGAAAGTCTGCTAAGGATGCGTGGCGTATCGAAATGGCACTCGGTACTCTCTGGCGCACAGCTACTGCTTAGACTTTAGGCTGTAGCAATGGCTTTGCTGTGGCTGCGGTCTGCATTCGCACGACTCAAACAGCCAGAGTAAACATGTGAACAGCAATAAACCACAGCCATAGCCTTCATGGAGTGATGAGAAACAAATTGGATTTGGAGCTGCAAAGCTGGGTCCCATGGGTTGCCCCATGAACGCTTCCTCTGTGCCGATGTGACTCTAGTCTTGTGCCATGATCTCAGCCCGCAGGCTCCTGCGTCTCTGTTTGAACTACTTTGACCAACAGCCGTGACATGGCCCTGATTATAGTCGTGCCAAGATGCCCACCAGTGCACAGAACCTGGGCTGCCAAAGAAAAAAACGCAGAATCAGCAAAAGTCACAGAGCTGCAGACATAACGCAAACATCAAAGCTCATTAAACTCGAGTATGAAATAAGGATAAACAACAACGGATGCTCGCAATCCTGGATGTCACGCTTTGCAATCAAATTTTGCTCAGCTCCCTTGCCGCTCTTTCCGCAAAATGCATTGCCACAGAATATCCCACATCACCCACTCAGATCCGACTGTCTCAACATCTGGCAACTGACAACTGGTGTCAAGCCCGTAGCTGTCTCTGCCACGGCGTGTTGCTCACAGCCCGTGTCAGAAGCTAGAGGTGCTACGTGTTGCTCGTCACCCGTCAAGCTCTCTTCAACATGTCTTGCAACCAACTCAGCTTACAGTTTCAACAACCGGCAACTGACAACTGATGTCAAGCCCGTGACCGTCTCTGCCACAGCATGTCGCTCACAGCCCGTGTCAGAAGCTAGAGGTGTTACGTGTTGCTCGTCACCCTGGACGTCAGGGGATTGACAGATTGTACGCTTTGCATCATCATTTCCCACGTCCGGCTCAGCGCGTCAGGCCTTTCAGGTCTCTGAAACATGTATTGGCATACAACAACCCACATGCAGCCAATTCAGCTTACAGTTTCAACAACTGGCAACTAACAACTGGTGTCGAGCCCTTGACTGTCTCTGCCACAGCATGTCGCTCACAGCCCGTGTCAGAAGCTAGAGGTGTTACGTGTTGCTCGTCACCCTGGATGTCAGGGGATTGACAGATTGTACGCTTTGCATCATCACTTCCCACGTCCGGCTCAGCGCGCCAGACCTCCTTGCCTTTCAGATCTCTCAAACATATCTTGGCATACAACGACGACCATGCAACCAATTCAGCTTTAAGTCCAACAACTGGGAACGGACAACTGGTGTCAAGCCCGTGACCGTCTCTGCCACAGCATGTCGCTCACAGCCCGTGTCAGAAGCTAGAGGTGTTACGTGTTGCTCGTCACCCTGGACGTCAGGGGATTGACAGATTGTACGCTTTGCATCATCATTTCCCACGTCCGGCTCAGCGCGTCAGACTTCCTGGCCTTTCAGATCTAAGAAACATGTCTGGCCTACAACAACCCACATGCAACCAATGCAGCTCACAGTTTCAACAACTGGGAACTGACAACTGGTGTCGAGCCCTTGACTGTCTCTGCCACAGCATGTCGCTCACAGCCCGTGTCAGAAGCTAGAGGTGTTACGTGTTGCTCGTCACCCTGGATGTCAGGGGATTGACAGATTGTACGCTTTGCGTCATCATTTTCCACGTGCTCAGCGGGCCAACCTTCCTGGCCTTTCAGATCTTTGAAACATGTGGCATACAACAACCCACATGCAACCAACTCAGCTTACAGTTTCAACAACCGGCAACTGACAACTGATGTCATGCTCTCTTCAACATGTCTTGCAACCAACTCAGCTTACAGTTTCAACAACCGGCAACTGACAACTGATGTCAAGCCCGTGACCGTCTCTGCCACAGCATGTCGCTCACAGCCCGTGTCAGAAGCTAGAGGTGTTACGTGTTGCTCGTCACCCTGGACGTCAGGGGATTGACAGATTGTACGCTTTGCATCATCATTTCCCACGTCCGGCTCAGCGCGTCAGACTTCCTGGCCTTTCAGGTCTCTGAAACATGTATTGGCATACAACAACCCACATGCAGCCAATTCAGCTTACAGTTTCAACAACTGGCAACTAACAACTGGTGTCGAGCCCTTGACTGTCTCTGCCACAGCATGTCGCTCACAGCCCGTGTCAGAAGCTAGAGGTGTTACGTATTGCTCGTCACCCTGGATGTCAGGGGATTGACAGATTGTACGCTTTGCGTCATCATTTTCCACGTGCTCAGCGCGCCAAACTTCCTGGACTTTCAGATCTCCATACAACAACCCACATGCAACCAACTCAGCTTACAGTTTCAACAACTGGCAACTGACAACTGATGGCAAGCCCGTGACCGTCTCTGCCATAGCATGTCGCTCACAGCCCGTGTCAGAAGCTAGAGGTGTTACGTGTTGCTCGTCACCCTGGACGTCAGGGGATTGACAGATTGTACGCTTTGCATCATCATTTTCCACGTGCTCAGCGCGCAAACTTCTTGGCCGGTGGCCGCGTCTTAGCATACACCAACCCACATGCAGCCAATTCAGCTTCCAGATGCAACAACTGGCAACTGACAACTGGTGTTAAGCCAGCATGTCACTGACAGCCCGTGTCAGAAGCTAGAGTGTTACGTGTTGCTCGGCACCCTGGATGTCAGGGGATTGACAGATTGTACGCTTCGCGACATCGTTTTCCACGTGTTCAGCGCATCAGACTTCCTGGCCTTTCAGATCTCTGATTCATGTTGGCCTACAACGACCCACATGCAGCCAATTCAGCTTAAAGTTCTAACAACTGGGAACTGACAACTGGTGTCAAGCCCGTGACCGTCTCTGCCACAGCATGTCGCTCACAGCCCGTGTCAGAAGCTAGAGGTGTTACGTGTTGCTCGTCACCCTGGATGTCAGGGGATTGACAGATTGTACGCTTTGCGTCATCATTTTCCACGTGCTCAGCGCGCCAAACTTCCTGCACTTTCAGATCTCCATACAACAACCCACATGCAACCAACTCAGCTTGCAGTTTCACCAACTGGCAACGCACAACTGGTGTCAAGCCCGTTGCTGTCTCTGTCACAGCATGTCGCCCGAGTCAGAAGCTAGAGGTGTTACGTGTTGCTCGTCACCCTGGATGTCCGGGGATTGACAAATTGTACGCTTTGCATCATCATTTCCCACGTCCCGCTCAGCGCGTCAGACTTCCTGGCTTTTCAGATCTCTGACACTGATTCATGTTGGCTACCACGACCAACAACTGGCAACTAACAACAGGTGTCAAGCCAGCATGTCGCTGACAGCCCGTGTCGTGCTACATGTTGCTCGGCACCCTGGATGTCAGGGGATTGACAGATTGTACGCTTTGCGTCATCGTTTCGCACCTCCGGCTCAGCGCGTCAGACTTCCTGGCCTTTCAGATCTCTGATTCATGTTGGCATACAACAGCTTAAAGTTCCAACAACTGGGAACTGACAACTGGTGTCAAGCCCTTGACCGTCTCTGCCACAGCATGTCGCTCACAGCCCGTGTCAGAAGCTAGAGGTGTTACGTGTTGCTCGTCACCCTGGACGTCAGGGGATTGACAGATTGTACGCTTTGCATCATCATTTTCCACGTGCTCAGCGCGCAAACTTCTTGGCCACGTCTTAGCATACAACAACCCACATGCAACCAATTCAGCTTACAGATCCAACAACTGGCAACTGACAACTGGTGTCAAGCCAGCATGTCGCTCACAGCCCGTGTCAGAAGCTAGAGGTGTTACGTGTTGCTCGTCACCCTGGATGTCAGGGGATTGACAGATTGTACGCTTTGCGTCATCATTTTCCACGTGCTCAGCGCGCCAAACTTCCTGGCCATGTCTTAGCACATCTTAGCACAAAACAACCCACATGCAACCAACTCAGCTTGCAGTTTCACCAACTGGCAACTCACAACTGGTGTCAAGTCCGTAGCTGTCTCTGTCGCAGCATGTCGCCCGAGTCAGAAGCTAGAGTGCTACATGTTGCTCGGCACCCTGGATGTCAGGGGATTGACAGATTGTACGCTTTGCGACATCGTTTTCCACGTGTTCAGCGCATCAGACTTCCTGGCCTTTCAGATCTCTGATTCATGTTGGCATACAACGACCCACACGCAACCAATTCAGCTTAAAGTTCCAACAACTGGGAACTGACAACTGGTGTCAAGCCCTTGACCGTCTCTGCCACAGCATGTCGCTCACAGCCCGTGTCAGAAGCTAGAGGTGTTACGTGTTGCTCGTCACCCTGGATGTCAGGGGATTGACAGATTGTACGCTTTGCATCATCATTTTCCACGTGCGCAGCGCGCCAAACTTCCTGGCCTTTCAGATCTTTGAAACATGTGGCATACAACAACCCACATGCAACCAACTCAGCTTGCAGTGTCACCCACTGGCAACTCACAACTGGTGTCAAGCCCGTAGCTGTCTCTGTCACAGCATGTCGCCCGAGTCAGAAGCTAGAGGTGTTACGTGTTGCTCGTCACCCTGGATGTCAGGGGATTGATAGATTGTACGCTTTGCATCATCATTTCGCTTTTCAGATCTCTGACTAGTCTGATCGAAATCCTGGCGGCCTAATCGCAATCCGTAATCCGCTTAATCCTTGTGTTGCTTGGTAATCTTCTTCATCCGTAATCCGCGCTTCAAACTTTGGGTCAAAACCGTATGTTGGAGCATGAAAATTCCGTGCGCAATCCGCAAGCCGCATAATCTAATCCGCAAACCGCACGATCCGTACTCCGCTAATCAATGAGGATTATGTTTTGAACACGCTAGTCTGACTCATGTTGGCATACAACGTCCCACATGCAACCAATCCAGCACAACTGGCAACTGACAACTGGTGTCAAGCCCGTGACCGTCTCTGCCACAGCATGTCGCTCACAGCCCGTGTCAGAAGCTAGAGGTGTTACGTGTTGCTCGTCACCCTGGATGTCAGGGGATTGACAGATTGTACGCTTTGTGTCATCGTTTTTCCCACGTGTTCAGCGCATCAGACTTCCTGACCTTTCAGATCTCTGATTCATGTTGGCATACAACAGCTTAAAGCTCCAACAACGACAACTGGTGTCAAGCCCGTGACCGCATGTCGCTCACAGCCCGTGTCAGAAGCTAGAGGTGTTACGTGTTGCTCGTCACCCTGGATGTCAGGGGATTGACAGATTGTACGCTTTGCGTCATCATTTTCCACGTGCTCAGCGCGCCAAGCTTCCTGGCCATGTCTTAGCACACACCAACCCACATACAACCAACTCAGCTTGCAGTTTCACCAACTGGCAACTCACAACTGGTGTCAAGTCCGTAGCTGTCTCTGTCGCAGCATGTCGCCCGAGTCAGAACCTAGACGTGTTACGTCTTGCTCGTCACCCTGGATGTCAGGGGATTGACAGATTGTACGCTTTGCGTCATCGTTTTTCTGTTCAGCGCATCAGACTTCCTGGCCTTTCAGATCTCTGATTCATGTTGGCATACAACGACCCACATGCAACCAATTCAGCTTAAAGTTCCAACAACTGGGAACTGACAACTGGTGTCAAGCCCGTGACCGTCTCTGCCATAGCATGTCGCTCACAGCCCGTGTCAGAAGCTAGAGGTGTTACGTGTTGCTCGTCACCCTGAATGTCAGGGGATTGACAGATTGTACGCTTTCCGTCATCATTTTCCACGTGCTCACCGCGCAAACTTCCTGGCCATGTCTTAGCATACAACAACCCACATGCAACCAATTCAGCTTACAGTTTCAACAACTGGCAACTGACAACTGGTGTCAAGCCGTGACTGTCTCTGCCACGGCATGTCGCTCACTGCCCGTGTCAGAAGCTAGAGGTGTTACGTGTTGCTCGTCACCCTGGATGTCAGGGGATTGACAGATTGTACGCTTTGCATCATATTTTCCACGTGCTCAGCGCGCAAACTTCTTGGCCATGTCTTAGCATACAACAACCCACATGCAATCAATTCAGCTTACAGTTTCAACCACTGGCAACTCACAACTGGTGTCAAGCTCGTCTCTGACCGAGCATGTCGCTCACAGCCCGTGTCAGAAGCTAGAGGTGTTACGTGTTGCTCGTCACCCTGGATGTCAGGGGATTGACAGATTGTACGCTTTCCGTCATCCTTTTCCACGTGCTCAGCGCGCCAAACTTCCTGGACTTTCAGATCTCCATACAACAACCCACATGCAAGCAACTCAGCTTGCAGTTTCACCAACTGGCAACTGACAACTGGTGCAAACTTCCTGGCCATGTCTTAGCATACAACAACCCACATGCAACCAATTCAGCTTACAGTTTCAACAACTGGCAACTGACAACTGGTGTTAGGGCCGTGCCTGTCTCTGACACAGCATGTCGCTCACAGCCCGTGTCAGAAGCTAGAGGTGTTACGTGTTGCTCGTCACCCTGGATGTCAGGGGATTGACAGATTGTACGCTTTGCATCATCATGTTCCACGTGCTCAGCGTGCAAACTTCCTGGCCATGTCTTAGCATACAACAACCCACATGCAACCAACTCAGCTTACAGTTTCAACAACTGGCAACTGACAATGTCAAGCCCGTCTCTGCCACGGCATGTCGCTCACAGCCCGTGTCAGAAGCTAGAGGTGTTACGTGTTGCTCGTCACCCTGGATGTCAGGGGATTGACAGATTGTACGCTTTGCGTCATCGTTTCGCACCTCTGGCTCAGCGCGTCAGACTTCCTGGCCTCTCAACATGTCTTGGCATCCACACACACACACACATGGCGCACCATGCATCCCATATGATGACACGCCATGTTTTTGTTAGGGTTCTCAGTAGTTTGGGCAGGTGGCGTACGGGTTGCAACGCGGCGGCGCCGCAGGGCATTTCACATAGCCGGCACATGCTGGTCAGGTTTAGCGAGCCATACTGGGCCATGCTGCAAATCGAGACGTTGGTATGAATTTTCATAAGGAGCCCTTTGGTGGACATCATTTGGGTGGAGATTGATGTCCACCAATCACTTTTGAGATGATTCCCTATTAAAACTCATGGCCGCAATTGTACTTCAGGCAGGTTGACAACCGATTCCCGAGCTCATGATCCGTGCTGTATGCTCAGCAAAGACTTGGTGGCCAAAAGGCCCATATTGCACTCCCATCTGACACACCTGTTCTCTCAAGCAAGAGCAAACACAGCTGCGGTGGCAGGATGAATGCACATGTCCACTGGCCAAGCCATGAAGAGCACAGTTGGATCACTTGCACAGCGAGTTTCCGTGGCGAAACCGCAGTGGAATCGGACATGCCGTTGTCAAACTCCTGTGGGTCATGGGTCATGGTTTTCATAACAGGAGTCCTCGTCATGCTTGTCTTAATCCCCTAAATCTAGGGCTAACTTCCCCATTCTTTCCAGGGATCCTCCTTTCTAGAAAGCCACCAAAACCCTGGGGAAATCGCCGGTTTTTGAAGCGAACGATGGCTGAAAAGAATTGGGCAAGAATCAACCCCGGCCCTAGACTAAAAGGTCTCTATGACAGCCTACCAACCCCAAGTGCCTGTGGGTCAACACCCTGCACCCCTGGTGAACCTCAAATGTGGCAAATGGATGTGGAGCCATAGGTTATCCCCATCTTGGTGAAATATAATATTTCACCAACCTGAAATAAGTTGGTTGGAAGGCTATTCCCCACAACCACCATGTCAGGTCAATTCGGTCGTGCAAGGTCGTTATAATTCACCCAGCATGGCCAAGTCCCCCTGGGTGCCCTACGGGGCCCACCGCAGGACCGCGCCTGGGTCCTCGCGGGCGGGCGAGAGGTTGTCCGCCCTGAGGCGGCCCGTCTTCTCGTCCAGCACCATGTTGTAACCTGACGTGGGTCTGGGTCAAACTTAAACCAAAACTCGGTTGGTTCATTCGTAGGGGCTCGACATCTCAACCATTTTCTATGAATCCCAGATACCATCTCTCGGTTTAGGGAAGGAGGGGGGGGGGTAGGGAGGGGCTGGGGGGGGAGGGGTAGGGTAGGGTAAGGGTTGCTTTCTGCTTCCCTGCTAAAAGTTGAACACTTTTAGTGGTTTAATGGAAAACCCATTAGCTGGCAACAAGCTCAAGTTTAACATCCAAGCAAAATGCGCCAAAGAAAAATGGGGGACCCCTCAAAATCGGTTGTTTTGGTAAATCGACACATGGACTAAAACCTGTGGTCCATATCCTGATGGCTTCACTCCCAGTTTAGGAATGGGAGGGGGGTGAGGCCCTCCAGAAGTGATGATTCCCCACTAAACCTAAAAACCCCCGCGAATTAATAAACTGGGCTTGATTAATGTGGGCTCAACATTTTCGGTCAAAATTAAACCACCAGGGGACCACAGATTTGTGTTCCTGGTTTCAATTAGCAGGGCAATCCATTTGGGTACCTGTTTTTGACTCACAGCAACTTGGCGCAAAGCCCCTGCGGCGTCAGGTCACCCCTAGTCTTTGGTTTTCAGCAGAGAATGAGGGAATGAACCCTATACACCATCCCCTATGTGTTCCTTTAAGGGAATCCCTAGGTTCATTCCCAACAGCCTGGGTCATTCCCGACTGAGCACCAGCAAGTTGCTGGTGGCTTGGTTTGGCGGTTTCGGGGTTCAAGTGGCTTTTTCCGCCATGCGCTCCATCAGCTGCTTTCAATGGCTTGGATCGGTCGAGGTGTTCCCGGGTGGTGTTCCATTTCCCCCCAGGAAGGCTTCAATCCCCAAACCGCCAAGGCTTGCCTGACACTTTCTATCGTGATTGACGTTAAAGGGGTAATGTTGACCCTGGATTAATAAACCCCTGCTTGATTTTATAGGGGGGTGTCCCCTTTTAGTGGGGGATTCAGACCACTGTTGGAGGGAACACCCCCTATTGGGACGGGTTTCTTAAACTCTGGGTCAACATTTGCTTGCATGGTTGTTTGCCACATGGTGCCGGATCACCTCACGCAGTCCACTCGGCTCCCAGCTGACTCTGGTGCCCGCCTTGGGCGCCGTCTTGCCCAAGCCTCACAGCGAAACGGCCACGCAATGCGGCTGCATGCGATGTCAGCCACATCATTACTGGATTCCCTGCAACATCCTCTCACTTCAAATTGGCCAAGGTGATGTTTAAGAAAACCGAAGTGGAAAACACAGGGAACCCAGTCAATTGGACGGTCTCAACATGGCGGAACCCCTTTTGGTTGGTATTTAAGAAAATTTCAAGGGAAACACAAGGAACCCCGGTCATTTGACAAGGAACCATGACCGCCTCGTCACAGGATTCGCATGGATTCGCCTTTTTCTCAGGTCGGGACTGGATCTAAGGAAGATCATTTCGAAGGGCGGCTCATCGATCCTGAGGAAGCCATAGCCCGGGAAGAGCGTCTTGATGATGCCTGCACGGCGAAAGAGCATGTCAACATAGGGGGCCCCCAAACACGTCTTGGTGTCCTCTTGGCTTCCCTTTTGAACCAAGGTAAAACGGGCACCCACTCTCAACACACACGCACACACACACACACACACACACACACACACACACACACACACACACGCACACGCACACGCACACGCACACGCACACGCACACGCACACGCACACGCACACGCACACGCACACGCACACGCACACGCACACGCACAGGCACAGGCACAGGCACAGGCACACGCACACGCACACGCACACGCACACGCACACGCACACGCACACGCACACGCACACGCACACGCACACGCACACGCACACGCACACGCACACGCACACGCACACGCACACGCACACGCACACGCACACGCACACGCACACACGCACACGCACTGCGCACGCGCACGCGCACGCACACGCACACGCACACGCACACGCACACGCACACGCACACGCACACGCACACGCACACGCACACCCACACACACACACATCACACACACACACACACATCACACACACACACACGCACACGCACACGCACACGCACACGCACACGCACAAGCACAAGCACAAACACAAACAGAAACACAAACCCAAACCCAAACTCAAACCCAAACACAAACACAAACACAAACACAACCACAACCACAACCACAACCACAACCACAACCACAACCACAACCACAACCACAACCACACACACTCACACACACACACACACTTACACACACACAGAGTAGCTCTCAAGCATGCGTAGTCTCGACCCCAAAGAATGAAACAACCTGGATTAGTGAGAACTGCGCAAACTTGGGTGTTCTACCCCCCTCAAAAACAAAGTGAAGGATTCCTCGTAAAATGGGTGTCTTTTCTAGGGGATGGTTTGCCTTTTGGTTCCTCTTCACTGCAAAGGGGTATTCGAATCTGGTCCCAACACGTACCTCTGCTTCGGTCATCTCTGGTGACGGTCTCCACAAACCGACCTGAAGGCAAAGCAGGCACATCGATCTGCCAGGAAAGGTACGGCAGGCAAAACAACTGGCGCACATGATTTAGAGCAAGGAAAAAGCAGAAGGATGACAAAAAGAGGCAGGAGAAGAAATGCTAATATAGACTAAGAATCTCGAAATCACATGTCTGCACATTCAAAACTTAGATCCCCGCTCAGGCGACTTTGTGCTGTTGCACCTGAAATGCTGGACGGCTTTGCAGCTTTTTATGATTGTCGCTTGCTGCTGGTGCCTCAAATCCAGCAGATTATTTAGCAACTCCCCTGCAAAAAAAAACATTCAACCGAACAAAGCATCGCTTATATCAACTTGTGTTTTATTTTATTGTGCAGTGCCATGATTCTCCGCGGTGCCACAGCACGGCCATGTTCTCTGCAGTCCCACAGCCAATGAGAAACATGATCCTACGGGCCAGGCCACTCTTGAAGCCAGCATCTTCTTGAGTCAAGAAAGAAAACACAAACCCGGACCCCCCCAATTCCAATGGCTGGCAAATGGTCTGTGGAATGACCTCATGGCTGGCAACTGGGGTTCTTTGCCAGCCATTGGGTGCTGGAAAGAGCGCACTGACTTGAAGAGCGTCGCCTCTGTCACCTTCTTTGGCCTGGTCAATCCACCTCAGCGCAAAACCCCGCAAAGAGCTTGCTTGTCACAATACGCTGCCACAAATCCGCATGGCAGTGCTGAATGATTCTCGTGCAAAAGGGCAAATGAATACTGCACTTCCCAGATCAACGGCTCAGCAAGTTCCCTCAACTGCATCCCTCGCCCAAGGCTTGGCATTTTTTGCCGTGTGAGGCTCTGGCCATAAGCTGGACACCTCATCGCCCTTTTTGAAATGGGCCTGGCGCTTGGGCTACGGCAACGGTGTTTTTTGCTTTTTCCTAGGGCTGGTTTTCCAGGGAACTAGCCCTAGTAAAAAAACACCAGGCCTAGGGAAAAAAAAGATCCCTTGGGCTACACCCACCAAAAAGCCCCACCCATCTCCGCCCTGCAGCGACACCTGCTCCAGCATGTGTGCGCCGCATATGCCGACACACACGTACGATAAACGCGAATCAACCCACCTCAGACCTCCAGATTCAACCAGTTGTAACACCAAGCTGCAGCAGTGTACATGATTGTGGGAAATACCCTTTTCCGTGATACCACGATGCTTTCGGTTTTCCCTTAGAGGGGACCACAGGTGGGGCTCAACCAAATGTGGCCCATCGCAATCCAAGCGCATACATGTTCCGACACCAAAACCAGACCGCGGGTCCTTCCCTGAAACCTCAAAAGTCGGAGGGTTTGCAAACTGTGCGGCTCATTCTGATGACTTCTAACCGGCACCTGACACGCGCCCAATTTCCGACCCAATCTTCAAGTCTAACCGCATTCCAGCGACCTCAAATCGCCACGAGCTACGACTCTGCTTGGAAACGCTCACACGTTGATCTCTACATTCCCCCAGCCTTGGCAACTGCGTAGCAGGTGTTCGGCTGCACCCTGGGCTAAGGATGTAAACTGATTCAGATTTGGGGTATGGGTCAAAATGAAGCCAACAGCGGACCACAAGTTTTAGTCCATGTTTCCATTTGCCAGGGCAACCCATTTTGGGTACCTATTTTTGACCCACAGCCGACGGCTTCTCACCGGTGAACAAAACTAATCAAGGAGAGTCCGCCGAATCTCCGGCGAGAACTGCATTCCTGCCAAGTGCTGGATCCATGCCCGTTTTGTTGTTAAACAAGGGCTTGCAACTGTTGCTGAAGTCCTGGCAGGTTTTGTTTTTTGTGGTAGGGGAACCAACTCGATGCAGTTGGTGACTTTGATAAGCCCCGGAAACGGTCAACAATAACGACCCAAGCAGCTACTAGCAGGATCAACAAAGCAATCTGGAATGTGATATCACTTGCTGGAAAGGGAAAATATGGAAAACCCAGGCCAGCAATCTTGAAAAGGCAAGCCTTTGGCCCAATGACCGTAGACCAGAATGCCAATTTCTCCAACAGCCCCAAAGACGGTCACCCATTCCCCGTACATTGGACCATGTTGACCTTTTCCGGCTCTGCCGCTGATGCAACTAACCGGATCAAACAAACGCACGTGAGCTGACCTCGCGTGCTTTCTGCTCGCCTGCTAAAAGTTTAACTTTTTGTGGTTTGATGGAAATCCCAATAGTTGGCAAAAAGTTAAAGTCCTAACTTCCAAGCAACATGCATTAAGTGACCTTCTTTTCTTCTCCGCCGGTACGATGACGCGATCAATACAAATATGCGTCGAATCAGGGGACGCCTTCAAGCCCCGGGCTACCATTCTGAAAAAAACACTCGCACCCATGATATGGGCCTGTATCTTTTTAGGAATCAGACCCCCCGCAAAACAAAAAAAAAGACATGTGGGTTTCCCTGTGGATTCCCTTTAAAGCAGACCAAAAAGGGGGTCCCATGCCGAACAAAACATGAGCCCATAGACTTAGAAAAACATGCAAAAACACAAAATTCTTCGGAATGGGACTCGGCGAAAAGCCCCCAAAACATCTGTCTTGGGCTCCTGGCCAAAAGTTCTCGCTGCGCATCCGCTTGGCCCAGTCCATTGAGATCTCCATCAGCCCGGCCTGGCGTTGGCGTGGCTGGCGTCCAACTTTCGGCTCGGGCCGGGACACCTGGTGGGCGAAAAAAATCGAGGGGTAACTTCCCCCATCGAAAAACACAGGTTATAGGGAACATGATTCTAGAAAATCCCAGGTTCTAGGGAGTATATGTAATACTCTGGGATCAACATGATAGGGGACACTTCCAATTCCATTCTTTCCAGGGATCCGGATCTTTCACACAAAAAACCCCGGGGAAATGGCTGGTGTTTGCAAAGAACGATGGCTGAAAAGAATGGGGAATCAACCCCTAGCAAAAAGCCAACTTCGTCTATAGGGCTCCTTCTTTCCATTTTCCGGGCGAGATTCTGTTGGTGGGAAAGTCTTAGGGCTCCTTTTTTACCGACTCTTCGATAACCCCGCTGAATTCAGAGACCTTTAAGTTGAACTCAATCGGGAATCTGAATCAGACTTGAGACCTAGATCTGGAGGGCTCCAAAACAAGGAAGGCGCTAATCGGAAGATCTGAAAACCAGTTCTGGTGTCGAGTCCTATTTGCTAGCCGAAAACTAGAACCCAAATGAAGTGAATGAATGAGCAGTCCTGAGAGAAAGTGGCTCCAGTCCGACACACACAACAAAACGGAACTCCTGGAGTCTTCCGAGAGCAACAGCGTGACGTCAACGAACATAGGTGTCCCTTTTGGGAAAATAGATGGCCCTGGTAGTTGGTTGAACCACCAGGTAAACCAGGGCCCTCTATTTCTGGTAGTTCAATCAACTACCATGGCCCTCCATTTTTCAACCAAATCAACCAAAAAGGACAACTATGTCAACGAATTGGACACGGCCGAGAACACAAAATCATGCTTCTCACATGACCAAAAACTCTATCCACTCACACGCGCCTTTTGGACGTTTTGGAAACCCACAACATGTCCACCCATTGGGAAGGGTCATTTTCATGGTCCCAAACCTCATAGCCCCTAAACGATCGCAAGAAACCCGTGAAGGAACTCTGAGTTGCTCCGAGTGGGAAAACAGATTAGCGGACTCTGCACATATTGGAAACAAACATGGACACAACATGGGTGTTTCCTTGCTGGTGCACCGTAGGGAATGTGGGAATGAACCTAGGGATTCCCTTAAAGAAAACCACCGGTTGGATGGTATTTTAGGGGCCATTCCCATCACGCCAACAAGTTCTTCAAAGCAAAGGACCTCTTGAGCCGTCCACAGTGGTCCACAAAGTTGGGACATTCGCATGCCAGATGAATGTGCAAGAAACCCGCACTCTCTCGTGTTCAAAGCAGCACGCCAGGGGACGCCTTGTTTTAACAACAAAGCGCCCGTTTGGTAAAACCCAACGTGGTCATGAAGGTTTATGTTGGGGGGGGGGAGGGAGGATCCAACATGGTGGACCCGATCTTGGTTGGTAAAAAGGAAACGCAAAGCCCCGGACCACTATTTTTAAGACACATGAGAGATAAGGCTTACCCTGATGAGACCAAGTAGAGTTGTCTCAAAGGGAAGCTCTTATTTGTGGCTTCCCTTACTTTCCCTAACCTGCCGCTCCATTTGCTTAAGTCTCCTGAAAAAAGACATGTCCAGTAGTAGATTCCTTTTAAAGCCAACAGGGGAAAATAACACACACATCTTCAGTAACTGGAGGCACCCCAAGAGCAGCATCAACACGCGGCTTCCGTGTGCCTCGGCTGAGATCCGGATGATGGAGTTGTACCTCAGGGTCAAAACGAGTGAGCCACCCGGAGCTTTTGGTCCGGCTATGTAAAGGTTAAACAAAGGCCTTCCTACTCGCTTGCCCAAAGGACCTGTTTATAAAAGCTTAACCTTTTGGGACCTCTACTAAGAATAGACCAAGGGAAAACCAAAAGGTCAAAAGGTCGGCTTTGAACAACTGAGATAAACCAGGGAGTAGGATCATCTAGAATGAAAACTGTTCGGGTTTTCGGCGCTCTAGTGAGAGTGGACAATCGCTTCAAAGTCGCTTCCACTTCACTTCGAAAAGCATCAACAACAGCTTGGCAAGGAGACCGCTGGCAAGTCTCAAAGAGGAACATCTGGTTTTACTCTTGTAAAGCATTTGCGAAAACACAAATATGACACGTTCACGACACAAGTCACAGGGGTGGCTCAGCGTAGCGGAAGCACCGTAAAGTGTCGCAGCATGTGATTGCAGCATGAACTGGACAAGCTCAGAGCAATGCCACTTTCAGAATCAAAACCGTATCTACTGCTTCATTCCCAATTTATTGCCCTCCTCAACTCAACACCCGTCATATGTGACTAAAGTGAGTCGCTGGTTCTCCCTTACCGTTGTATTGCAGCTTTCGCGATCTAAGTTTTACACTAAACAATCGCTGAACCAGTCCTCTGAACATGGTTTGGTTAGTGTCATTACCATTATTGTTGCTATTAGTGGATGATTAGCAGTACTTTCTCATCCTTCCTCTTATCATTCTTGGCTTTCATGACTTTCTCTGCGGGGCAGATTAGCATATTCTGCACAACAAATACAACACAACTCCACGCAGATCCCAAAAAATATCCTGGCAGTGGATCCCACTCAGCGAACATGCGCTCATTCAAGCCGTACATGGTCAGAAGATATAAAAAGTGGCCTCAAAAAGATGCACCAACATGGCACCGTGGTAAATAGAACCAAAGACGAAAACCTGCGTATCCCTAGCTCTGAGCAATCTTGAGCCACGTATCATTCTCACTGGCGTGTCTCAAACGGGACCCCAAACATGGGCTGGTCTTGCAATTTTTCCCTCTCAAACTTTGAAGCTGGTAAAGCCAGCCCAGTAGAGGTTGGACCAGCCCTCTCACCCCTGGAACACCCCCCGATACCCCCCCTGTCTCTTTTCAGAATTCCCAGAGGTGGGTTTTTTCTTCGGGTGAAAAGCTCCAGGTCCTTCTTCCTTCATTCCCAGGCCTTCGAGCTCAGTCCGGTTGCTTCGGTTGCGGCCAACCGAACCAAGCCACAAACCCACGCCGAACATCCAAACAAAAAAAGTTCTCCGAATCAAAACACACCAAACCAAAGGGAGTTCCCCTTTAAAGGTTTGGCTTCACCCAGTAAAACCACCCCAACGCCGAAACAACGAAAAGACGAATTGCCCACTCGGCGCGAATCCGTCGCGAGAATCGACCCGGATCGCGCGCACGTGACGAGGTGAGACTTCTCCGGCAGCGCTTGGAGCAGCTTTTCCAGGAGCAGCTGAACCGAATCAATCTGCGCCAAAGCGCTGGGCCATATGTGGATGGACGAAATCCATTTCGCACCACCTAAGAAACCCCGGGAATGATACGATTCGCCTGCAAATACCAACAAAAAATGGTTTCCCATGGTTCTTAAAATGGTGCAGGATTTCGTCCATCCACAGTATGTGGGTGTGTCTGTTTTGGGATTCTGACTCCCAAAATGGCATCGGTGTTCCCTTTGGCTTCCCTTTGAAAGCAGCAACAAGGGGTACCCTTCAAGCAGGACAAGCCACCCATCTGCGCCAAATTGGACTTCAATGGCTGCCTAGCCCGTTCGAAATCCATTGAAGGGGAATCACAATGCGTAATCTGCCTAATCGTTGTTCTGGTCGGAAATTATTCTTAATCCGTACTCCGCGATGCAAAGTGCGAATCGAAACCTTTTGCTGGAGCATGGAAAACTCATACACAACCCATAAGGCAGAATCCGTAAGCCAATCCGTAAACCGCATCAATTGCAATCCACTAATCATTGAGGATTAGGTTTTGAACAGGCCATGTGTATACATATATATATATATATGCCAGCAGACCCTATTTGGGGCCGATACACTGGCAGCCATGCCTCCGCGGAGCCTCCGCGGGTGTGTAATGCCTACGTGAGCCTACGCCGAAACCAACCCCCCCCCCCGCGGCCGCGGAGTGCGTTTGACGGCGAAACAGGCCGACGCGAAGCTACCTACGGCCTGTTTGACCAACGCGGGCTGCCTACGCGATCGTTTTCCTACGCGGTGCTTCCGCGGCGCAAAGAGAGCTCCCCCTGAATACTCAGCAAGTACACAAAACCTCTGCTCATATCATGCATATTTGTATGTGTATATATATATATATGTATATATATAATAATATATATATATATATATATGTATACACATATGCATATGTACACAAATTATGTCAGTGCTATATGTTGTTCTGACGTCAGTTGTTACCCGCTGATATATATCCTACTATCACAGCAAAATACGTAGTCAGATCCAATCATTCCTGCTTAGAGAGGAAACAGAAGACGGTTGGAGGGTACTTCTTTAACACATACCCATCTGGGCCAGGTCGATCGGATGCTGACATGATTGTCCTTTGGTGCAAGCTGGAACCCGTTATTAGAACCTGTTTAAGGTTTCCAGAGACATGTCAATAGGGATTCTCCGATCGGCCCGTTCGTCACAAGGGAAAAAATGGCACCCAGCAAAGAGCAACCAAAGTCAAAAACCAGGTTTCCAGCCTTTGGTTTAGAGAATCTATTTTAGAGGCTCGGAGCAACCTGGTCCGAGCCCAAGATACATTCGAAGGACCGTGCAAGTCATCCGAGGAAGCCGTTGGATCATTTCTGCAATTGGTGTTACGTCATCTCAGTGTTGTCAAAACAGCCCCACTCGAGGTGGCTTCCTGCTAGATTCCTGTGGAAATCCTCTGCGGTTTTTTTTGAGGCACTGAATGCCAAATTGGGATAGGGTTGGACCTTGCTTTTATACATGGGTGGCCTATCATAGAAAGCTGTTTTCCTAAGTCACGATGATGAGAATGTTCAAGCGGGTCGAAGAATCTGAAGAGTTCCTTCCCGACAGACAAAATCAGGGCAACAAACAAAGACATACACCCACGCCAAAGCCCGAGCCTTTTCATCTTAGCTTTATCCAAGTCCTTCGCTCAGTTTGCAGAGGGCCCGATGGACTGGAAGCGTTCACAATCGAAGCAACGCCACTGCAATCAACCCACTTCCCGAAATTTCACACATTGCATTCGCTGAGACGCATGTTCGCAGAACTGGCAAGCTGCATTGCTTCTCGGTGATCTGCAAGCTTTACTAGCATTGCAAAAGCTGAACTAAGAATTGGATCCCCAAGTAAAGGACCTTGATCATGGTGAGCTCGTTGTAGCCCCAGGTGAGCTCGCTATAAAATACGGAGAATGATTGTAGTCGTCTTGCAAATCTCCGTAAAGCAGGTTGGTGTTGACTGTGCGCTTGCAGGTGACAACTCCCGCTGGCCTTTTCGGCCTTGTAGTCATCAAAGAGCTGCCTTGAGTTAATTTGGCATGGAGATCAGCAACATAGCTGGGCGCTAACGAGACGATTCCAGCACGATATCTAGGAAGCAACATGTGTGTACATATTGCTTTAGTCTGCGCACATATAAATGATATGTGAACGCCAATCGCATCTCAAGCAAAGTCGGCAACCATTAGTATTGTAAACACAATCTGCACGTCCAGCTTCAACTTCCAAGCTCTTTCCAAGCACAAAAGAACACACTTGTGCAAGATCAGCAATACCAAGAGGGGTAATTCCCCAAACTATCTTGTCAATTTGAAGCGGGCGGTCTCACAGAATGGCCTGGAACTCACCCAAGCTCCACAACCATGAGAAAGACAGCGAGAGTTTGCAAATCCAATCTATCATCTAGGCGATAGTGACTAGTCCCTCGTAAAACGACCATACTGGATAGTTTGACCGGGTCATGTTTTGTTTTCTCCATATACCAGGACCCCCCAATGGCTGGCAAACAACCCCGGTCATTCCGCAAACCATTTGCCATTGGGAGGTCCTAGTAATTATATATATATACATGGCTGTGGGTCAAAACATAGGTGCCACAACCGGAACCCTAGTAAATGGAAACACGGACCAAAACCTGCGGTCCCCTGGTGGTTTAATTTTGACCCATACCCATACATATATATGTATATATACAATGTAACCCAGGCTGTGTGCACGATGTGCAAAATAAGTCCAGCACCTGATGGCAACCTCGATGTGAGTCCTGCAAGGTTGTGGCCAGCTTGTGGGCAACCCGCATCAGGATGGCCCATCCATTCGTGATGAGCTGGCTCTTTGTATTCATTCAACTGTAACATTAGCCGCTTATACTACTTATTATACGGTGCAGAACATATTATATAATTATAACTAATGCAACTATGATGCAACCCTTGACTCAGCGCAAAAGAGAAAGGGCCGCTTGTCTTCTCGAAGCATCAAACGGCACCCGGCCTTCTCACAGTCACGCCCAGGCTTGACATCCATTCAATCCTAAAGCGACAGGGAAACACTCCCGCGCGCTGCGAGGTTTCAGACATGCAAGACTAGAATCTGGTCCGAGAGACGGTGAAAAGTGAGCAACTTGTCAGAATGAAGGCTCAAGCGCACAGTCAACTCAGTTAGTAGGCTGAAAGTCTGCTCTCATACCCGAATTGGAGGTCATCTTTAAGCGCAAACATATATTGAGCGGCCAACATGTGCGGAGAAAAAAATAAATAAATAAAATGCAAGTTCCTTCCTTGGTTATGGAACAAATGATGCTTGTCCCTGTTCCCCTCCAATGAACCAAGCGCCTTGCGCCTTCGACCAAAGCGGTTCGACTTCCTCCCATTGCCAACTGGATGTGCTGCATTTTAGCAGGTGAGCTTCAACCAAAACAACAAACACTGAGAGAGTGGTCTACCCAACACCATGTGGCGCATCAACAGGGCCGGCGGCACCTACTTTTTGCTAACCTTCACAAACGTTTTGATTGTGGCCTCAGTGCTGGCAAATTCCAACTCCTCGCGAGATGCTTTTCTGCAAAAACCATTGGGGCTAATCAAGGGCCCCCACCAGAATGGTTCTCGGAAGCCTGCGTGTAGGAGCCCTTTTTGGCTTGTGGGAGGCCCTAGGTGTTTCCCGCACAGAAAATCAAAGGGATGAGTCCAGCGCGTGCTTGCCGCGTACGCAAGAAAAAGCCCTGTCCGCCTCCCCCACACCCAGCTGTAGCCCAAACGTGAAGATGCCGCGCTTGCCATCGCCCACTCGGTTGCACCTGCCATCCATATAGCCATCCAAGTGGGTATCCATCTTAATTGAGGAAGCTTTAGTGCACACCATTTGCACGCAAATTCATGTCCACCCGACTAACAGCCACATTCTGACTCTTGAGGCCATCATGTTGTAGTCACGTTGCTTGATCGTCAAATCATATTGCACAAGAACTCACAAAGGGCTGGGGACGCAGAAACAACCCAATGTTGGAATAATGTTGGTGTTGACTGAATTATCAGCTTCTTTGCCTATATCTGAGGCCCGACTTCCATGCATGCCGGCTCTAGCTCAGTTGAATGGATCAACTGCCAAACAAGTTGCAATTCCTCAACTCCTAGCACATCCCACGTCATCCTTCTCGTAGTCGATCACGCTGCTCTGGGATGTGTGCAAATGAAAGTTGTTGGCTTTGAAAGTCATCTACAAGCTTAGCTTGCCAGAAAGAAAAACAATATAACAACTTGTGACAGATTTCACATACGTTCTGGCCTAGTCGTTGTCAACTGCATGTTCCTCCGGCACTTCTCAGCGTCTGCTTTTGGCCGCAGGTACATCGGTCCCTTTTGGGTGGAATCTAAATCTACAATGATCTATGTGTGATACTGTGGATGGACAAAATCCTGCACCACCTGAGAACCCCCTGGAATGATGTGGCCCGTACATACCAACACACACTGGTTTCAACCATGGTTCTTAGGTGGTGCGAAATGGATTTTGTCTATCCACAGCAAGACGTTTCACGCGACTGTCCCAGGCTACTTAACGCAGCGGCACTGCTCTCGAGCGAGGCTCAGCTCAGCCGGAGGCGATCATCTCAGCAATCTGATTGAGGCCTCGGACGCTGCAAGCAAGCCGCATGTGATTCGGGGATGTCAAAAAGGAACTCCAAACTGCGGGTTTCCCTTATATGATGGGTCAAAATGAAACCACCAGGAATTGGACAGCAGGTGTTGGTCCTTGGTTCCATTTACCAGGGTTTCATTTTGGGTACCTATTTTTGACCCACAGCCATATACAAACCTGAAAAAGAAAGCACGCATCCAGCTGCGAAATGTGAGTTCAACAGAAGCCTTCCGCTCCGCTTATGCGACGCCCCATGGCGGCCAACTCAACACAATGGCCCCATGCAATTGAGGAGAAAGACCCGCCGGCCTTGACTCTCGGCCCATTGCTGTGCTGTCTTCCCGTTCACTTTGGCTCCTGCGTTTGCAAATACGCACAAGAGCAACATGTTCCACGTGCGGCCCAGCTTTATCCAGCCGTTACTTCAGTATTCAGTTGTGGTCTTACACAACAATGCTGGTTAGCCTCAAGAGAAGCCCAAACAAACTGTAAGATACGAGATCCTCAGCACATGTCATCATGTGCGGACATGCACAAACAGCCAGCGCACATGGCACCGCACGGTTCTTCAATACTTTCTAGACACTGTGCCGGTTGTTTCGACCTTGAATCAATGCCAATCAACACAAGGAGAGGACACAAGGTCATTACCATTGGCATAAGAATTAAGGATCAACTTTGAAGAACTTGAGAAATGCCATGGTCAAATTTCACTTATCACACATCCGTGTCTTTTGGATGGCCTTTTCAGGTTGGTCAAAAGGAGAGCCACCATTTGGGAGGCCAACTCCGGATTTTGACACATGTCAAGTGCGGACTAATCCGGAGAACCCTTACTAGTCAAAGGGTACCCCAAAAGTAGATCATCTCCCTACTAGATGAGCTTGCCACCCGTGAGTAGTCCGAGTTTTCGGATCAATCTGAAGCTAACATCTTCCGGGGACCCAACAGGAAGCTCTCATTTGTGGGGTCCCCCCCCAAAAAAAGGACAGGTAGCGATTTATGTAGGTGTTCCTAGCTCATTTCATGGGAGTGGTGAGGCATAGCGCATACACACACTGAACTTGATGCCCAGTGGCCATGGGCAAAAAAAAATCGGCATCCTTTTGTGGTTGGTTGAGTTTGGGGGGATCGGAACCCTTCCCCCCAAAAAGTGGAAAAAAGGGCGGAATCCACTGGGTAACTGGGTGAAGCCATGATCACAGCTCCTGTGTCCGCACCCTTCTCCAGCAGAAGCTTCACCACCTCCCGCTGCCCGCTCCGGGCAGCGTTCATGAGGGCTGTGACACCCGCCTTGGACGCCCTGCGAGGGATGGCGCGAGGGATGGTTTGGGCGTGGAATGGGAGCGATTCGAGGAGCTAAACCCAAATATGTCAGGGCAGGTTTCACTCATTCTGGCTTCAAGTCATCCCCCTTCAGTCCTTTTTGTTCAGCCCTGATTTGCCCGCGGAAAGGGAATGGAGCAATCTACTTTTGCCCTCCAACAACTAGACCCTAAGATTGAATCCACAGGCTCCGGAAAGTACTGTGTAAAGGACACCGAGAATGGAAATCCAAAAGTTGTTGAAACAACCAGGACCCCCCAATGGCTGGCAAAACGAACAACCTCCCAATGGCTGCGTTGGGGTTATTTGCCAGCTATTGGGGGGTCCTGAAATAGGTCTTTGGGTGTGGTTCAAACAAATAGATACTAGAAACCTGTTGGCCTCAGCTTTGAGCCAATTGAAACATGTCCAGACAGCGGCCCTGGCCAGGAGTGGGCATGTGATCTGTTGTCGGTGTATCAACACGGCAAGTCATCCATATCAACACAAGGGGGTTGACTGACACACGGGTAGCTGAGAAATCTAACACCTCACTGCCTAATGACACGATGTTCATGGGCGCGGCCTGCATCTCTGTGCAGAAAAACGTGGTTCGGCTTCATATGGCCAACTGCCAAGGTCTAAGGTCCTACTATACATATATATATATATATGTATATGTGCATCTACCCCAAATGCACATATCCACATCAGTGCTTATTTTGCAGCTATGCCGACCTTGTACGGATCATCTACCTACCCAAATCCATGTACATCGATAGGGACCTTAGACACAGTGCGCTTCTGCGGCGCCGTTCCCTCTGATAAAATCAGATACTGTGGATGGACAACATCCTGCACCACCCAAGAACCATGGGAAACCATTGTTTGTTGGTATTTAGAGGAGAATCATTCTCCTAGGGGTTTCTATGACCACGCTGCTCCTGACAAGATCTGTTGATTCGATCAAAAATGACACACTTGTCAGCACCAAATGCTCCAACATAGTCGTCCACCGAGCCCTGCGCCTGTTGATATCTGCGCCGTTGCGTATCAACGCCTAGCCAGCACTGAGTGAGCTGGTAGCAACTGCAATCAAATTACATTACAGCTTTTTCCATGTCAACCATAACTCCTGGTACATCCTGGGTTATCCACCTCCTTGGCTCCATCAGCAGCAGTAATGCCTCTCTATCCCCATGCCTTCATCGTCTCCAAGTGCCCGTTCTGTGCTGCAAAGTGCAAAGGCAGCCAGGCATCAGCAGCTTCCGCCTCACGGAAGTTTGTCTCGTTGCTCCTTGCTGCCCGCTTCCACATGTTTTTCTCAAATCGACTCCTCGCTTTGAGTGGAGTCTCCACTTGGTTTCCCTCTAAGACACTCAAAAAACAAAAACTCGAACGTCGCAGGCAAGATGCCACTGCTGCTTGGAGATTCGTGGAGTGAGTACTACCCTGCCTCTGCCGGGATAGCGGGCAATAGTGCCTCACGGGCAAGGCATGACATGTACCGAGAATGGAGGACTTTGGTTCAACAGGGATCCTTACATTATACACCTGAACATTGCATTGTCAACTGTGGTTTCCCCTTATTTTGGTGGAAAAAAACATGTTTCAAATGAGCAACATGTGCCTTTTAAGGACCCCTGTTCAATGGCTTGATTCCTTTTGGTTCCCCATTGAGCCCAGCCAAGAAGCTGTTCAATTATGTGAGAAACCCTCAGACCTTCTCCCTTGCGGCAGCTTCATAGCCCCGCAAGCATCCGCTAGCATTGGGACCTAGCTTGGCAGCCAAGCACTGAGCGAAGCCACTCCAAAGGGTGGCTTCATCGATCAGCGACTTTATGAACGTGATGGCGTGTAGTGACTGGACAGAACATTGCTACCAACGTTGCTACTCTTTCTGCTAGAACAAGGTGGAAGCTGAGCTTTCCTCAGGGCTCGGTATGTTCAGAATTCAGATTTGTTGCATGGCAAAGTGCACCACCACATTGCAGCTGTCACTCACACTCAACAATCCGTTTCCGGGCTGAGCCAACATCCCTGCGCTTTGAAGAACACTGTGAATGGTGTTTATCACATTCTTGGCGTAAATCCTTCCAGGTTTCTATATAGATATATTGATCGACTATAATCATGTGAATCCGCATGCAGCTTAGATGCTTGCACTACATGACTAATGGTTCTGACAGCTGTGCGCAGCTCCCCTGGGTAAATACCTTCCGCGAGCTACATGCGAATGCGTGCGGCTGCTTTTCTTCCATGCGAGGCTTCCGGAAGGCACAAAGTCTGTTCTGCAAAGCTGCCCGCGCTGGCTCGGTTTTTGCGAAGAGGATGTATCAAGAGGAGGACACCACAAATGGCATTCCGTTTGGTTTCCCTTGAAATTAATCTCAGAGGGCACATCGCCAACACACCACGCCCCCAGGAAATTCTGGAAGCTTCTGTTTGGAACCATATTGAGCTTGTGCCCCTTCTGCTACGCAACAACTTGCACTGAGCAGCAGGGGTTCGTCTGTTGAGCTGAACAGTACAGTACCATCATTAGCCCACAATGATGGTTTGCTTGTCTGGCCCAAAAGTGACTGTTTTAGTGCAGCTTCTACGGAGCCAACCAAGCAATTAGTGTTGTCGCTGAATTGGGAAGCACCTTTCTGCACGCGGTCTGTCATCTGTCAGTGTCATTGATGAGATCCTGACTGCGTGCAAAGGCTAGTATTCGCGGTCTGCTGCTTGGTAGCAGAATGGGCTGGCAAGCTGCTTTTAGTTCGTTCTTATTTGTTTTTTGCTTTATTGGGAGACGTTTCTCCGCTTTCGCTCTGGAATGCGTGTGTTCGTTTTTCCACTCGCTTCTTGGGATAGCACGCGCCCCTCAGCATTATCATGGAAAAGAGCGCGGCTCGTGAAACAATTTATCGTGTTTGGAGCCAACCAAAAGCTTGAATGGAGGTCAACATACCGATCCTTTGGCTTGGAAGAACAAATATGGTCAGTGTGTTAGCTAGCCAGCAATAGCTAGCTAGCTGGTTAGTCAGTCAGTCAGTCAGTCAGTCAGTCAGCCAGTCAGTCAGTTAGTTAGTTGGTTAGTTAGGTAGTTAGTCAGTCAGCTCATTCAGCCAGCCAGTCAGTCAGTCAGTTAGCTTTAGCTTGTCGCTCACTTAAGCTTCACACGCCTTTCGGGTCTGCGACCAAATAGACTCCTTGTGTCCTGACTCATTGCACCTTCATGAGGATTTGTGTGTTGTTTTAGGTGTTCCTTTGGGTTTCCCTTGAAACCCACAAACAAAGGCTATATACCCATAATATACCCTCAACAAAAAGACACACCTATGAGATGAACAACCTTCTTCATTCTTCCCTGTCACTTCCAAAAATATGCAGGATTTGTCTGAGAGGGATGAACCAACCCCCTGTCCAGCAAACACCAGATGGCTGCCGGCAAACCATCTCTCGGTCCTGTTTGCAAAATCTCCTTCAACATACAAATACATAATCTATGCAAGTGAAGACTTAGTGGATGCACTGAATAGCTTCCAAGCTGCAGTGATATACACCCGCATGCTGTTTCTGGTTTGCGCACGTCTTAACCCAGGAAGCTCCAACACCGTCAGTAAATCAGGGGCTCTGCGCGCAGTGACGTGCCTTCCCTCAACAAGTAGGTCCTGATATTGGGCCAGGTTACGGTGGGGGCGGTCCACATCCTCTTTTCGGGCACGCCTTGAAACCGGACCGTGACTTGTTTCCGGTCATACAGATGAAGCCCCTAAGATGAGATTCCAATGATCCTGTACGTGCCTGTTTTGGATTTCCATGTCCGGAAAAACAGATCCCTAAGATGAGCCTGTTTTGGATTTCCATGTGACAGGAAAAACAGAGCATCCTGACTGGCGCAAGCAAATTTTCGACGTGCTACTGTATCATGCAATCCAAAAATACGACAACCAAAACTACACGTCATGCCTAAATGCGGTCGGCTCAGTCTGAAATGCACAGGGCGCCTATGCTGAAGCCAGCAAACCCCCAGTTTTGTACATGCAAACGATATATGTTTTCATATTACAATTCGTGCTGATATACTTATTCGTTCATACAAGCGCTGCAAACAGACCTCTTTTATAGATCGGTGTGTTTGCGGGGTTCCCTCTCTCGCCCTCATCGTTTTAACATTATTCGGATCAAATAAAGTGCAAAATACACTTCGGCAGCTCCGGCCTGAACATTGAACATTTCTTTGTTTTCAAATCAATGGCTCGAAGTATACTGCGAGATGTCGTTTGAACCCGCGAATACATGTACGCTAAGTACACATTAGCAGCTCAAGCTCAGGCTTTGCAGTGTTTCAGTACAAGGGCAATACTTGAAATTGTCCTGAATCAGTTGACTTTGAAAGTTGTCGCTTGGCTTAACCAGCTTTCATGTCGCATTGCAGGCCAACGGCCAGTTCTCACGTACAAATTCGCGTCTAGAATGTCAATCGCGAGTCTGTTTCTTGGTTTTGCCGTAAATATGTGGAACCCAGCCGTTTCTTTCCTTGCGGGGTCCGCAAACGCATGCATTGCATGGGTTTGTTGCGCATGTTGGCTGGTGGTGTGTGGTCATAGTGGCCCCTCCCGAACGCCAGGAACAGTGTTGCGGCACACGTGCCGTACCCTGCCGCTATTAACACCACTTGCCGCTGAGTGCTGCTGAGTGAATTTCCCAGCAAATCAACAAGCATCAAGACTCATGAAAGCGGAAGAATGAGGGCCACACTTGTTAAGCAAAGGCCCACGCACCCTGCTCGCCAGTGCTCGCCCCAGCCTTTGTGTCGGGTAAATGGACTAGAAGAAGGGGCAAGCGTGGGAGGGGGGAACAAACAGTTGCCAAACTCGTTTTGCATGCTTCAGCGACACCTATCCTTCCACCCAGAGTCACCCTGCCTCCACGGCCTCAGTGTGTCCGAAGGTGGCAGCCCAGTGTAAGGCAGTCCGGCCTTTCTGGTCCCTGCCTGGCGCACGCTAGGACAAGGCAAGATGGAATGTGGGCGACGGCGTTCTACCATCTTCTCGACGGTCATCGGCCACTCGCCAAACGACAAAGGGATTGAAATTTTGAGGGTGGGAAAAGTACGCTCCTGCGCGTGATGCTGCTAAACTACCCAACGCGAAAGCGCGCCTGAAGCTGGGCACATCAACGTCTTTCCGATCTGCTCCTTGTCAGCACAGCAAGGGGTGCGCTACAGAGCAGCAAGAGCTTTCTACGCCAAACAACTGAGTTACTATGAGCGAGAAGCCGCCGCGCGCCGTTATCCAACGCCATGCCCACCCATACAAACCAAGTGTGGCGACTAAGGGGCTCTGGCTCGGATTGAAATATCGCTTCTTCCTCCCAAGCGCGGGCGCGTCTGAGGCGCGGCACGCAGGCGACGCGCTGTTCAAATTGCAGCCCCGGGAGCTACCCCCAAGACTTGGTCCACAATCACGGCACGCCTGCCATGACTCTATTCCAGCTGCCCGTATTTTAAACAAAACCACCAGAGTCACAGTTTGACCGCAAAGGGCGGCATGTTCAAGAACGCAGCGCAAGTCCCGCCCTTCACTAGTGAGCCCTCGGCATCGCGGCGCCGGCAGTATGAAATGTGGTGATGTCGTCGCAATAGTTGCTGTCAAGCACGGGTGGTGGTCTAGATTGCGGCACTTCGCGTAATGCGAAGCTGGGGATACTTTGCCGTGATTTCACTGCGTGGGTCTGTTTGCGTCGTGTAGTGCTTGCGTTTGCGTGTTGGCTGTGTGTTGATTGCTTGGTTGGTTTCTCGTTTGTAGCTTCCTGCTTTGCGCGCATTCACGGGCGCTTGCTTGCTTGCTTGCTTGCTTGCTTGCTTGCTTGCTCGCTTGTGTGTTTGTTTGTTTGATAGCTCGCGCGCTGCCTTGCTCGTTTGATTTTTGGGTGGTGCGTTGATGCGTTTGTCTGCTTGTGTGTTTGTTTGTTTGTTTGCTTGCTCGCTTGCTTGCTTGTTCCTTCCGAATGCGTCGCGAAGGGTTCCCGTTGGACGTGTTTGCGAGACGTGTCGGTGTGTTCGCAAGCGTCTGCAAGCCTTCGTGCGTGGAAAAATTGCCCGCAGCCATGCTGGCGCAAACAAGCCACTGCCCCCAGGCTAAAAATCACGCCCGCGCTAAACAAGCTCTCGCGCATCCACAACAGCTGCTCCCACGCTGGCGCAACAAAATAAGCGCTAGTACGTATTTGCACCACTAGTAATGTTGCTAGTATTTGTTTCAGTTGTAGTAGTTGTAGTCGTAGTAGTAGCGCTAACTGCCTTCTCCTTTGCATGGCAAGGAAGAATGTGTTTTTGCTCCTGATTCATTACTTGTTCATCCTGATGTATTTTGTTGTTGATGCGCATGCCCTTTTACAACCCCATGCTGGTCAAAACTTGATGGGCCGTATGGTTCCCGCGAGAATCCTTGCCCATTTGGGCTTGACCATCCCGGCGAATTGTCTGTAATTTACACTGGCTGCCTACGTGGGAAAATTCACCTTCTACCAACAAACAAAGGCCCCTTCTTCCCCGGCAGAAACACAACACAAACCAAAAGGAAACCCCATATATACATACACACATAAAAAATATATAAATATATATGTATATTTATATGGTACTCCCACCTAACATACTAAGGCTTTGGCCAGAAATTGACATTTTGGCTGTAAAAATGAATGTAACAGGATGCCCGCCGAATTGAACCGAACCGCGGAACCTGAACCGAACCGCTCGCGAACCAAACCGTGGCAAGGAACCGACCGTCCGGAACCGCAGCAAACCGAACCGCCCAAATCCGCCCAAATGGCACCAAATGGGCCTTCCTGCTGGTGATACCTTCTTGCTACAATAAACCCACACACATATATTACAAAAACACCTTCGCCCCAAGCCCCAAAACCCGCCCCTTCCTCTCCAGACTTCCAGAAGACGTGTAGGCTGCTAAGGGTTTGCACTATAGGTCGGCAGTCAAGGAGATGCCAAAGAATGCAACCAAGGGCTACCAAGGGCGATCAATGGCTCTACCGAGCACTACGAAAAACACTCAAGAACTAGAAACACAAAGAAAAGCAGCAAGTGCTGCCCACCAACCAAAACCCACGAAAGCCACCAAAATTGAAACAAGAATTACGAAAGACTGCGAAGGCTACCAAGGCTACCAAGGGCAACCAAAGGGCTACGAAAGCAAAGCCTACCAAGGGCGAGGGTTACGAAAGACGACGAAGAGCAACCAACAAAACACCACGAAAGCTACCAAAGGTGCCAAAGCAAAAGCAAGGGCTACCAAGGGCTACAAAAGCCTACCGCTACCAAAGGCTACAATGAGAGGCTAGGCCTGCCAAAGACTACCAAGAGCTGCCCAAAACCCAGGCTACCAAAGGCAAGAGCTACCCAACACTACCAAGGCCTACCAAAGGCCACGAAACTTGAGGGCTGGCCAGGGTTGAAGACTGCAGACCTTCAAACTTAAATGCAGGGGGCATTCTGAGTCTAGAACAAACTGTCAAGCTTTTGGGGGGCCAGGATTGAGGATGTTCTAAACATATGTTTGTGGAACCTTGTACGTTCGATCTTCGACCCAGGGCAACACGATCTGAGCAAATGCTGAACAAGCGCTGTGTTTTACAGCATTTATGTCAATGATAGGATCAATGATTGAAAACACTTGTCTGTCGTTGGCTTGGCTCAGCTCTTGCTTGGTTAAAAACACATGGACATAGATAAGGACAATCACCGTGCTGAAATTGAGCTTGATTCCAAGTTCATCTGCCCATGACAATAGCTATGTTCTCCAATTGTTTCGATTTTTGAAAAGAGCAAGAAACGGCAAGCGACTAAACATGACTTTGGTTTTTAATCTCAAAGCGTTTTAACTTGCCAATGATTGAATTTTAAGGGTTGTTCTTGACGAGCAGCGTGCAACTGAGATAGTTGCTTCGTAAAACATGTTGCAAGTAGGAATGAGTTCCTTTTCCCCAAATTTATGATTTGCTGAATTTCCCGCCGAACAAAAAAGTAGTAATAGAGCTGCTAGGCACGTTGAAGCTGCCAGAGCATACTTCACGCGCTACTCTTGGGCTGAAAAGTTGTGCTTTTTTGAGCTGGAGCTAAGCGCGCGCCAATGTGACTGCTGAGCTGTTTTAATTGGAACTCCTGTTCAACGTTGAACTTCTAGCTTCTGCTTGGTTGGAATTTGCATGGAGTTGTGCGTCCTGTCAGTTCATTTCAAAGTCTCAAGTCATGTGTCACCCCCAGTCTGCCCAAACAAACCCAGTTCTGGCCAAAAACCTGAGTATTTCAAGGGGGTATATGTATATATATATATATATTATATCTATCTACATATATTGCGGGAGGCTGAAACCGCGCCGGCGCGTAGCTGAAACCCCCGACCTGAAGCATCCGCGCCGGCGCTGAGCAGCTTTGACACCGCCGCAGCATGGCCACTCCTCGCCGCCCAATGCAAGGCCTGGAGCCCGTCGCCGTCGGCCCAGCTCAGGTCCGCGCCCTTGGAGCTCGCCCCAGAAAATTACATTTTTGCCCAACAGCTGAAAGCTTTGGGGTCTCAGCCCAGATAGGCTCCAAGGTGGTCCGGGGTTCTGAGGTAAGGTTCCACAATGGTTCCACGAAAATTCAACCAGGGTTCCACCGGTTCGACCAGGTTCTGCGAGGGATGCGGGGTGGGGGTTCCACCAGCGTTCCACCAGAAAAACCACCAGGTTCTGCAAAAGGTTCCACCATAGTTCCACCAGATTCTGTGAGGGCTGCAGGGTGGTCCGGGGTGGTTTGAGGTGCCACAAGATTTCCATCAGGGAAAAGGTGGTCCGGGTAAGGTTCCACAAGAATTCCGCAACGGTTCCACCAGGGTTCTGTCAGGGCTGCGGGTTTGTTTGAGGTTCCACAATGTTTCCACCATGTTTCCAGCAGGGTTCCACCAGGTTCTGCAAGGGCTACGGGGGGTGGTTTGAGGTAAGGTTTCACGAGGGTTCCACCACTATTTCACCAGGTTCTGCAAGGCTGCGGGGTGGGTTCCACCAGGGTTCTATCAGGGTTCAACCAGGTTCTGCAAGAACTGCGGGGTGGTTCGTCGGGCCCCGATCGGGCCCCGATTGCGCCGTCGGGCCCCGATCTTGCGCTGTCACTCTAAGCTTTGCTTTATAAAGTTACAATCCTCAGCAAAACCGGCAGTGAGGTGGGTCCCGAATTCCGCGAGAATTCTGAAAAATACGGTGCTGTTGGGGATATCGCCTGAGCTTATTTTTGCCTGGTGAATGGAAAACAAAGGGACCCCCAAAAAAAACAAAAAACAAATAAAAAGGGGAGCTAATTCTGGGGAAGCATTGAAGTCTCCTGCCAGGACCCCCCAACTGGCGAATACCCCCAAAACAGCCATTGGGAGCCAATTCCACTGACCATTTGCCAGGCCTGGTGGTTGTTTTTCCAGTGGTGCTCGTCATTTTGCCAGCAAAAAGAACCGGCCTAACTTGGATTATATAGCTTTGCCTTGGCGAAAAAGTCTCCTGGAAAAGACCAACATGATGTCCACTAGAATCCCCCCCCCCAAAAAAAACGGGGAGATTCCCCCCCCAAACAAAAAGAAGAAACAAACCGGGGATGATAAATCTCGGGGAGTGCTAAGAGGAGGGATCGATCCCGTGGGAAGCGGAAAAGCCCTAAGAGAACTGAGCAGGCAGGCGGGATCCGGCCACTGGGGAGCTCTATGGATAGGGCCTCCCATTGGCGCGCGACCATACCTTTTTTTTGGGATGCAAACCAACATTTTGAATCCGAAGCCCAGTTTGGGGGGTCCCATCATTGGAGGCAGGCCCGAATTTCCGCTTGAAGCATCATCCCAAAAAGAAGCTTACCTCAACTTACAAAAATGTGATGTTTAAAACCACCCAAAGGAAAATTCCAGGAGTCATGGCTAAAGCCCAAGGGAACACCATCGGAAAACCCAGGCGGCGCGATGCGGCGCGGTCACATCAAGGAGTAGATGACACTGCTCCCTTCGCGGAGCGAAGAACTTGGAGGTAGGGCCATCGACTTTCATTAGGGAAAAATGAGAGATTTCACCGCCACAAACCACAGGAAGCGGAGTCAAATGTTGGATGAGCTGTGAGCTGAGGTTCGCCATCTCTGTTGGCTAAAAGCCAAAACCATGCTCCGCCTGTCGCCACTCTTCGAAGGCCCAGCTCAGATTCGCGCAACGCCCATATGTTACGCTGCAACCGGGCCATGATACAAGACCACTTGCTTTGTCCCATTCAAATTCTTCGCCCATACCAAACTCGGCATTTTGACACCATCCATGGCACTCGCGTTCAGTCACCCGTGCTCCGCACCCTAATGCATGGGGACACTTGAAGCTACCGGAAAGCAATGCTCAAGTCTAAAAACATAACAAGCACCAAGCACTTTTTAGAAACGCCGCGCTTTTTCCATTGTCCCGCACAAGTGTCTTTCACACATTTGATACAAATCAGTTTTTCCTCCACCCCGGACCTCGAAATGTTTCAGTGGAAGAGGCACCTGTTTCTTGAATGGCGCACGGTGTTGGACATCATTTCGGTGGGGATTCTTGTGAGGTAGTTCCCTATGAAAAGTCCGGGCCCTATGTTGCAAGTAAGGCCAAAATCTACAGTGATGCACCAGAGTTTTGTGTGTTTGCGTGCAATACGGTCGGGGCATCTACCGTAGCAAACCCAAAACCAGAGATTTTGGGGGGGGGGCTTCCGGACCGTCCAAACCCACCTTCATCTTGCAGGGTAACCAACCCCGCAAAAACCTGAAAAAATGGCCATGGGTCAAAAAATATATGGCCATGGCCAATCCGAACTAAAATAGGTTCTACAATGGGCGGTGCACCAATCCCCCAAAATGGGCTCCCATTCGTTTCAGGCGGTTCTTTTTGCCACCTTTTGTGGACAACTGATCGACCCCCTCATAGTGAAGGATTCCTTTTTGCGGCAATTTTCTCACAGAAGGTAGCAAAAAGACCCCCCTGATTGGTTTTATCCCACAGCCATGTTCCCAGGGCGAGTCACCTGCGCGAGCTGCGCGTTGAGTCGCTGCAGGTCACCCTTCTCCGAGGCCCGCAGCAGCGCCGCGGGCTCTGCCGTCTCCTGGTCCTAAGGGCGCCGTGCCTCGTGCGACGATCCTCTAGTCAGAGGTTAGAATACAAGCAGGGCTGGGGTTGAGGGGTTGAGGGTTGAGGGGTTGAGGGTTGAGGGGTTGAGGGGTAGGGGCTTGGGGCGGGGGGTAGTGAGTGGTTGGGGGGGGATGCTACTGCCGTCGAGCACTGCTTCCTGCCTAGGTCTGAGCGCGCAAAAGCACGAGCACACGAAAGCATCATTTCAGAGCTCCACCGCAATGTAAACCCCAAAAGAATCAACCTAGTCGATATTTCGGGGCGGTGATCCCCCCCAAAAGTGCAGGTTCCCCTCCAAAATAGGACACCTCTCCTTTTGATCAACTAGGGGTCTACTGTTCTTGGGTCAAACTTGCGGAAAAGCTGAAAGCTGCCAGTCCGAGGCTCCTCCTCCTTTAGCTCTCCCACAATGGGATACTTGCTCTTGAAGGTCAAGACCTCAGCACGGATGCTCCATCTGTCGGTGGGTTCCCTGCTTGAAACTTAGCTTTCACCTGGTGGGTCTTACGCAATTACAGGAGAAATAGAAAACTCCCCAGACTGACATGGCAATAACACAAACCAGCCATTTGGATCGGCGCCTCACTCGGGACTAGTTGAGATAGCGCCTTAAACCAAAACCATCCGGTTTTAGGATCGGACTCTCCCTTCTGCGCAAGCCATGTGCAAAATTGTAGGGCACTGTACCATTGTCTTCGTCGATTGGTAGCAGTTGGGTGCTTTGGTTGTGCGGAATGGGTCCGCAAACAACCATCCACAGTGAAAGTAGATGGCAATTCACGTCTTGGTTGAATGATCCCCGGTACTTCCACACAGCCTTATACACACATGAACGGAATTGTGCCATCCAGTTTCGTCATGCCTTTGACTTTGGGCGCGCCTAAGGCGCACCGCAAAAGCCGAACTAAGGCATTGTCCCAAGCTGACAGGAACGCCCTCTCCGCCATGTTCAGTGGCATCTTCTTTGACTCCTCGGTCTCCTTGCCAATATTGCAGCTCTCAAGTTGAGGCTCGGAGTCTTTCTCGAGGCGGATTCCAGTGTGTACTCTTGGCCCGGTTGGTTGTCCTTGTTCAAAATGGGGGATCCCCGCGTTCCTGATGGCACACCATACCATCTGGCATACGAATTGAGGATTGAGTTTGAGCAACCCAGGGAACAATCTCAGTTTATGCGTCATGGTCCTTATTCCCCTGCTCCATGGTCGTCTAGCCCCCTACCGCACTGCTCTCCTCATCCAAGGAATTCTTCCCCAGAAGCCTCGAAGCATCCCGGCCAGCCAAAGGCGCGTACTTGCCGTCGGGGCCGTAAAGGCTCCTCCATTCGCAACTGTGGTTTTTGGAGGAAGGGACCCTTCACCTTGGTTTCAAGGGATGGACACCGAATGGAAAACATAAATGGCTCCAAAGTGCCGCATAGCCACAACACCTCTTGGCCCGGATCGAATGAAGCTGCGCATTGCGCGAGTCTATTGTTTAGTGGCCACGTGAACCTCGTCCCACTGGAACACTCAAATCAGAGCTCCGCCTTGCTCAAGTCAATTGAACCAGCCTGAAGATGCACCTGAACCTGAAACTGATCATCCATCCCGCTTCTACACGAAGCGCTCGCCTGGATGAGGACACATCAAAGACCAGCCCCTCTGCCGCCAACAGGATGGGGCCTTCTGTCGAGCCTTGCGAAGGGCAAGCTCCCAGGAGCTGTAGTCACCAGAAAATCATGGGCATTCAAACAACCATCCTATGAGGGCACACGTTTTTTTTAGTACAACCGTTTATAAATCACAATGAATGTGGCCTGTCTGTATATATATATATGTATATATGGATTCATAATGTAAACATTCGATATAAATATTAAGCTTAATTTAAGGAGGCTGGAACACCCATTTCACAGTTCATCTTGCAGTGAGCGAGTTGGCTCTGAATCCTACCCAACAATCAGGATGAACAAACTGGTCTTGTGGCTCAAGCGCTACCCATATCTAGCGGTGGGAACGTGTGCCCTCCCAGAAACAAGCTCCTTTGCAAATCCTACC